CCTCTACTTTTGAGAACACAACATGGCCACCATCATCCTTTTAGAACAGATGATCTCAAAAGGAAAAGGCCTTTGTATAAACTAGTTCTTATATGAAAGCTGTTATCTGTCCTTCCTCCAACTTGTTGAAGACATTCTAGGATGCATACTTCTTTTCTGACAAATGTGTGTCTTGTATATCCCTTCAAATATATCTCCTCCCTACGAGTAGGGTAAAAGATTTTGCAATATACAATGAAGTCCCTAATTCCTTCCTTGGCTTTTTTTCAGAGAGTTTGGTCTGAGAGAGGACTTGGGATTTACTCCAGTAATTGCATTTCTAGAGTACAGTTAAGAAGAGCTTAGGAAAAAAGAGAAATAACTTTGCTTTTTTTGCCTAGACCTTCATCTGAAATCCAGGAACATGAAATACTTTCTTCATTAGAGTAAGAAATATGTGATAGGAGTCAGTGCTTATTTACATAAAGATGTACCTAGATTCTTGGTTCCATCGCCTTGCTCAGAATGACCAGATAAGCCATTGCACTGAAGTATGGCACCCAGTAATCTCCTTGTTTTCCATCTCTGTCACTGTAATTTTAAAAATCCTTTAGGCTTTTTCTGCCTGCAGATCACATAACTTAGAGATGGTATCTCAGTCTTTGATTTGCAAAAATAAATCCTAGACTATCCAAGTTAGTTCTGACTAACCGTTTGACTAGTTTCCGGCTCTTTTTACAATATGAGGAGACTTGATCCCTTTCTCTTGAGCTTATCGGAGTGCTTGGCATACCCTTTGGCTTTATTTGCATTAGTGTTGAATACAAACCCTGGCTTTAGCATCCATTAACGTCTTGTGCACAGCGATAAATCATGCTAAGAAATCCTTGAGCTGTCTGTAAATTATTTGGAATTGAATAGTAATTTCAGTCCTTTAGTGAGGGATGGTTTCTCACTGAGCTCATTCATCTGTAGATAAAGTTTCTCCTATGTCAGATCTTGAAAAGCAGAATCAGCCCTGCATGTGACTCTCATGGCTGTGTATTTTGTCAGAGAACTTCTACGCCAATCTAACTAGCTGGGTCTGTGAAGAATTTGCCTATGAATTTTTTAAATACGGTGAATTTAAAAGACACTTCTTAGGGATTTGTTTCTTCTTTGTATTTTGCTGCTTTTACTATTTTTTTTGCTGTCAATTGTGTGTGTAGTTTTATATATGTCAGAACTTGCCTTCAGTTGTGGCCCCAAATGCAGATGAGTCAGTGGTGACTGCTGTGAATTGTGACATATGGCTTCCTTGAGCAGTGTCTGAGTGTTCTATGTGAAGGTGACTTTTAGAGAAGACAAATAAAATTATATATAGCTGCTTCTGTCATTATTCTTAGCCAGAAAGATATATTACAGTTGAAAAAACATTACTGCTGCTTCTGACATTTGGAATCAAACTCAAGATGTGCCAGAACTATTTATAGCACAAATTAAAAGTTGTACTTACAGTTGTCAAGTACTGATTTTAACATTATAACATGATGTCAGGAAGGAATGTACTGTAATGTGGAATTATAAGAAGCTGTCTTCCTTTTAACAATACTATTTTTAGGGTCCTCCAAGCAGTTTTAACAGTGACTGCAAATGTCAAGCTTAGTCTCTGTACCTTCTTCTTTACCTATAGGTGTATAGATGTTAGAATTAGAAAATTAAGAGAGTGTAGAAAATATTAAATGTGCATAATATACTTAGAAGCAAAACTCTCTGAACAGATTAATACTGAAGAATAACAGACATAAAATCTCAGTCATGTTCTACTCTGCAGTTTACATTACGTTTATTGTATACGTTCCTAACATGGGCAATTTTCATAATGCTGATAATTCAGCCTGTCAGTTTAGTCAGTGAAATACGGCTGACAATACTAAGTGCATCTCTCTGACAAAGTGCGAGCTAGGAACAAGGGAAGAGTAAGCTTTTTACGAGTCATGTACTTGGAAATAAATATTGAATGTTAATTGATCACCTGGAATTTTCTATTCTTATTTATTTCACTTTTTTCTGAATATTGATGTGATAGTATATGTATATATATTTATACGTTTGTATGTATATTAAAGCAAACTAGAACCCTGTCCTGGTTGGGAAGAGGGCTCAAAAGGATGATTCAAAAGCTTAAGTTCTCTTCCTGACTGACATTCACCTGTCATAGGATATTAAGCAAGTCACTTCTACTTTGTCTTCTTCCCCATTCTCTGTCTTGTCCTTTTAAACTGTGAGTTTTGAAGGTCAGTGATTTTCTCATATTACATATTTTAAAGTTCCTGCATAGTAATTTTTTAAACCTACTAGAAGCCTCTGAGTGCTACTGTAATGCAAATAATAAATTATATATTATGATTACATAAGTAATCTTAGAAATATGAGGAACCAAATTAAAGTAAATGTGACTACTCATGCATATCCCTCAGGAAAATTGTGGCAGGAGTGGTGCATACTGCAGCCATACCAATTACACTTCTGTGTAGGAAAAAAAAAGGCTGGCACTTGTGTGTAGTACATATATACATAAAGTCTTCATCAGAGTTCTGCATTCTCAGGTTGTGCATGTGCCCTTATATTCTTAATCGCATGAACAAATGGGATTATAACAACTGGGTGGATTGTTTAAAATACATAGTAAAAGTCAAGGAGATTAAAAAAAGATACGTTAGTATTAATTGTGAAGTGGGCATGACACAATTCTTAGCCCTTCCCTTAGATAAGGTATAAGCCACCCCGCAAGTAACAGAGACTAGAAGCATACTGTGAAAACTGCCAATATTGCCCAGTAACTCCTGGCAGATGGCAAGCCAGTAGAAGCCTTCTTTATTTTTTCCTAGAAAAATAAAAACTGGAAAAACGTCCTGCAAGCATTAACCAGTTTGTTACTCTATGACAGATTGCTTCATAACAATCAAATCTGCAAAAATGAACATAATATGCGTTGAAATAATGCAGACGTTTTCCATATTGTTCACACAAACAGTCCTGCTGGTGGAGTTAAATGGAACATTCGCGCTTGTCGTTTTACAGTTGGTTTCTCTGGTAGGACCGATTTGTTTTGGCGTTTGTACTTACCAGAGAGATGCTGATATATGTTTGACATTAGATTTCAAGCACAGTCTAAGTCAGCCTGTCCTCATCACCCCTGTGCTAGAACCAGTAATGCTGCTTCTCGAAATGAGATGACTTTGCAGCCATTATCTGTGTGACGCGGTGCAGAAGATGCAGATCATGGTGTCTGAGGAGATTTACTATCACTGGTTTGCACCTTAATTCCCAACAGTAATGTAGCTGAAGGAGAAGGATATCTTGCATTGGCAGCAGCACAGATGTTGATGGATTTTTGTTCCATGCCCATCAACACAAGTTCTGGGATGTGGTATAAGAAGTACCTAAAACACTGTTTGAAAGGTGCCACCTCTGCTACAATTAGTGAAGCTGAAGCAGCTTCACTGATAGATACTGTGGGATTTAGCTGAATGAAGAACCTCACTTCTGACGCATCTGGGAGAAGTGTGGAAGGAAGCTTCTGTTTCTGATGCACTACGTTTTAGTACGTACATATAAAAAAATTGCCTATTTGAAGTTCTACAAGGCTTTAACTTATTTTCTTGAGATCTATTTTAATATGCCCACACTTGCAGAAGAGCTAGTGATTGTTTCATATTGAAGTGACACAGCTAATTTAAGTACTTTTTCTTTGCAGATATGATCAGGGTCAAATATGTTCCTGGAAAAAAATCATATTGCTACCACCTCAAAGTTGCACATCATTTTCGTTTCTTTCTTTGGCAATAAGAACTTTAAAAATTCTTACATTTTTACAAAAATTATTAGAGCCTATTTTCTGAATTTGGTTAGTGCTTCAATAAAAGGTCAAAAGACTTTGGATCAAATTCTCTGCGAGTGTAAAGTGGTGCAATAAAGTCAAGACAAAAGCCACACAGCTCTGTGCGTGTTCCTCACGAACATGATCTTTGTTGATTCGATGTATTCCTGGTGAATGGCCAGTGTGTTCGTATGGCTCTCACTGACCACTGTAGTTACTGTTTACTGAGGTAAAACAACTGGTTTACGACTCAGAGATTCCGTGTCATACCTCCTGCTCTTCAGCTGCGTGACCTGCTCTGGTCTGCTGCTGTGCCTTGAGAGCTGCTCGTATTAATGTCAGTCCCACACCTTGCAGTAACGGCAGGGGGTTTTTTTTTTTTTTTTAAAAAAAAAAAAAAAAAGACAGGCAAACAGCTCTCCTTTTAAATATGATGTGAAACATACGTCTGTCACTAAAATGTCAGCTTTTGCTAGTAGCTAACCGTGAAGAGGGTAACTGAAAGATAAAAGATTTTCTTTTACATACAATGAGAAGCAGCTGGGATCTATGAAAAAGTTATGGAAAAACACTTATTTGGTAACAGTAAAAAATATCTAAAAAGGACTGTTTTTCAAAGATGACATGAAACATAAGACCAAAACTAAAATTTTTAATCAAAAGTATGTATCTTTCTGCCTTTTATATTCTTTACTGTTTTATCCATACTTCAAGGTGAAAGTCTTCAAACAGTGAATTGGATTCAACTAGTATAAACCAATATAGCTTCCCAGACAAATTCACTATTTTCCAGTGTAATAAGTGAACTAAGGAAAATCTGTAGCTGCTAGACATCTGAGCCAACTGTTTCAGGTTTTTCATAAGACATCTGATTTATTTGAAGATGAGTTATCTGCAAGATAGATGGATGTTTCTTGATTTAAAACGTCATGTGAGAGAATTGGTGCAATATTCAACTAATTACTTACTTAGACCTCTGACATTAGACTAAGGGAAGTTTTTATTTGAAGATTGGATGGTTCATATAATAATACAAAATGCAAAATGCAGTCAGTTCGTACTAGGGGAATTATTTTGTGGAAATATTTGCACTTCTGCTGTGCAACTGAAAGCATAATTTCTAGCAGTAGGTAAACTGATGCAATGTGATTAATTGCAGGTTCCCTCAAGAGCTGAACATGGGAAAAATCAGTGCTGAAATCATGTGGACTTTGTTTGCCCAGGACATGAAATATGCTCTGGAAGGTAATTCGAATAAACTATTAATCACACTAGAGAGTTCCCTAAGACTGATTTCCACTGCACATCATACCTGGCATCAGATTTCTGTGGGTGGTAAGAGTTTTCTGGTGTACTTGTTTAAGATATTTCCTAGATTAGTGAAAAAGAAGTGTTGTAAAGGAAGAAAATCATTGCACTGCGACTATATGAAATTATCTGTGGAAGAAGGAGATAAAAGAACTGTAACTTGAAATGCTGCTTCTTATTACCTAAATCTGACCAAGTCATTGATGTCCAAGAAACCACAAATATGTGTGCTTGAGAGCATTGTAGGCATACCATATTTTCTTACTAGCTGAAAACTGCTAACTTGCCCGTAAGAAACATTTAAAGAACGAAGTTATGGAGAAAACACACACAAGGTAATTAAACCTTTTTGTGTTCAAAACGCAGATTGTATTCATTCTAGTTCCAACAGAACCAAATGCAGTTTCTTTTTATTCTTTAAGATAGTACTGTGGTTAACCATAGGTAAAATTTTTTTTCTCTATAGCAGTTAATCTCCAACTAATGGTTATAAACCCACTCTTTAAAATATATGTATTGCAGAAAACCAAGTAAAAATACCTGCATGAAGCTTTTTAAGAAATACTGAAGAGAAGGTATTAAGGAAATAGTCTTAATTAATGATAGAAATATTGCCAGCCCATATGCCTGTATTCACACAAACTTTTAGATATTTATTAAAATCATTCCTTTTGAAAATAAGGTCATCAGAATTTCCCTAACTAGTATTTATTTTTGCAAAACAAAAAATAGTGGTATTAGCTGAACTTCATTATTTTTTTTTACCTGTTAAACAGATTTCAGGTTTAAATGTGAGAGAAATGCAAGAGGATTTTAGATTCCATCTGATACCAAGAGTACAGCTAAAATGAATCAGAAACTAAATGGTCCTGGTATTGGCAGGTTTTTGCATTGTAAGATATGTAATAAAATGCATTCTGTTGGTCTTGTATGTATACAATCTTTGACGAGTTTCTCTCCAGAAAGATGAAAAAAAAAAGTAAAAAAAGGGGGCTAAAAAAAAGTATATCAGAAACTAATCATAAAGCAGTCAGTGCAGTTTATACTTTCATGGTCAACCACAAAATTATGTGAAATGAATTATAATATAGAATACTGGTTTTTAAAAGCAACAAAAAAAATCCCATCCTTTTATGAAAAATTGTTATTCACAGAAAGAAAAGATTTATAGTGCTGGCCATTTTTTTTTATTATTTCCACAGTAGCAGAAATAGCTAATTGTGATTTTTAGGTAAGCAAAACTCACATTGTTTTCAGTCAAGCCTGCTACTAACGACAGAGCAAGTCTGCCAGTGGTTAAAATAAGCATGAGGTTGGATTTAAACAACAGTGCAACTCAATAGGCATAAATGATTTTAAAAAGGAATTAAGATTTTCTGTATTATTTCTGTATTACCCTAGAACGTCTAGCGTGATAATATCAATGTGGTGGTACTTTGATGATACTGTAGATTTTTATGATGATAAAGAGAGAAAAGATGAGTGACTAGAATGGCTATTAATGGAGAAATTACTTTGTTCACCTGTGGTTGTGTTACTTTGTTTTGTTAATGATATTCTGTGAATGTCAAATTTGCACACTAAGCACAGCAGAAGAAAAAGATAGGAAGAAAGGAAGGAATTAACTACAGGAGTGGTGATTATAATGTGTAGAATGACAACAAAAGACATGAGAAATCAAATCTAAGATGTGGGCAGAAGAGATGTTCAAACTAATATTTGAAGGTGATGTTCTATATTCATGTTAGAGTGCATCAAAAGTATAGGTCTGAGAAAGCTCATGTCAGGCAGGAGATCATCCTTTGAGAGTGATCAGTGAAGTCAAAAGCTACCAAGAGCTGAGAAGTATGAAGACCAAATGAAAGCCACTATCTTGGGTTAGAACATATTCCTGGTTATATCTATAAGAACCTTATATCTGGAGAGGCTGTAAATCAGGAAGAGGTATCAGAAAATGGCTGTTCAGCAGTTGTGGTTGCATTTATAGATAGCTAGCACAGACTAATAAGAATTTCTTAGAGCCATTGTATTGTCATGCTTTCAGAACTTTGAATGTATAGCTATACTCTGCACACAGACATCCCTGAGCACCCTCATGCTTGTAGTGCTTTAGACATTGAACTATAAACAGTTGGTACTGCATCAAGATAATTCACAAAAGATGATTCACTCTGCTAAGTAGAGCGTACTGATCACTCAAAAGGCAGCTTTAGATCAAGCTGTGGTTTGTATCTCGGTTGTAAAGAATAGAACAGGAAGCTCTTGAAGAAGAGTTACTTACACAATCCATGAAGTGTGGAAGGTTGGGCTGGATCAGCACTTTAAAACAAATATTAATGCTAATATCCTAATTCTGCAGAGCGTGCTATAGAGGACTCATTAGGAGGCACTTGACTTTCTATGTCTGTTCCAAACCAGTCCCTGCGTATGGTCTTATCTCTGTGTTGCTGTGGATACTGTCTTTCTGAGGAGAGTAAATGCCATTTTTGCCATTAGAAATTCTAAGTCATTCTCAGAATCATAGTGGAAACAGTTCCTGTGTATAAATAATAATTAAAGGAAATTGAAATTAATTACACATTATTATAAATATACATAATTTCACTTTCTATGGTTTCATTCCTAAACAGGAACCTCAGTAAATCCAGTCACAAAACACAGATCAGCATGCTGTTTCTCTCTCCAGCTTTGTTGGTTTTTAAATCATTAATTCTTTCCATGGATATTCTACAAACTGCGCTTGATTCTCCAGTTGATAATGGCAATAGCATTTTTTGCTTTGAATTCTATAAGATTAAGAGCAGACCCTTAAATATGGTCACACTCAATCCCCATGGTTTTAATGGAGTTCATTAAAATGCATTGCATTTTGCTGTGCCAGTCTGGCCTTCCAAGCTATCAACATAGGCTGCCATCTGTTCACATGTATCGTCCAGGGCTGTGACTGTGATCTTTGCCTGATTCAATTTAGCATTAATCTCCTGAAGCAGCATCTTTTGTCTTATAACATTGATTCCTTTCTGCATCCAATCTAGAAGCAATGAAACAGTCCAACATTGTTTGCAAAAGGAGTGCTGATGTGATAAAGAAGATGAAATTAGCTCATCCAAGATCTTGTTTCTGTTTTTTTCCCACCTTATATATTCCCAAATATATCCAGCCACTCCCACCAGCTTAAATTCGGGAAATGGTATCTCATAACTCCATTCTCTAACAGAAGACCACTACTGGAACATCCAGCTTACATTCCTTTTTCCTGAGAGCAGTTCAGAATGTTCGGCCTGTGTCCTCTGACTGTACAGCTGACTGCCCCTTGTATCTGCTCAGGGGATATATGGATCTGCAGCTGCTGCTGGGGAGAACTGCTGCTCTTCAGCCATGCTGCCTACCTCCTCTGCAGCAGGAGCCAGTAAGCCCATGAGACAGACACCAGCAGTTGTTACACCCCTCTGGCCTGTCTTTTCATTTGATTCTTGCCCAGGACAGTCAAGCCAGGAGGCTGCTGTTGTGACACGGAGAAGACAGAGGGAAGAGCAGCTTCCATAGCAGCGGCCTTTTGCTGGTGAAGAGTACCGCGGCCGCGCGTCTCCGAATACCAAGGCAGCGTGTTTGCGTGTGACGGGGTAGATGGCTGCTGTCACTGGAAGCAGCTCACTTCTTTTGGTGAAGGAGGAAAGGACATCCCAAAGTACAGTTCAGATCTCCACAGCTGCCAAGATCAGGGCTACGTTGTGTGAAGCTGATATGCCTTACAAACCAAACTGTAGTAAAATGGGGGTAGTAGTTCATAATTTCATTCCAGATTTTCTTCCATTTTAAATTAACAATATCTAGCCTTTGCAGAGTATTGAAAGTTTTATGCAAACTTTTAACAAATTAAGTCTACATTAGTTCTAATTTTTTTCTGATCTAAGGAGCTTGAGATTATTTTCATGTATAGATTTTGCATGGAGAAGGTATCACATGTTCCTCTTTGAAAACTGCCTTCATTAGATTCAGCCCTTTTTTTTTGTCTTCTTTGCAGGTTATTTATGAAGCAACAGTGATTTGCATGATAGATTATACCTTGTTCTTTGGCATTTATTTTACACAAACATGTCTGAGTTTGTAGGATGTTAATATTTTTGTCCTGTCTCGTTCTCAAATTATTTATGGCTCAAACAAATGAGAACAGAGAATTTCATCAGCAGTGCAAGTGATTTGTTCCTGACTTCATATGGTAAGAAATCTTTTCCTTTCCAAATATGAAGATGCAAAGATTAAAAGATGGTGAGAGAGTAACGAGTTGAAATTAGACAAGCAATTACAAAAGCATCTTTTTTATTCTATGTCCTCAGAAGTGTCTTTTTCAGATCTTTCATATCTCTAACTTTTAAATAGGTCAGATCAAATGTCCAAAGCTATCCAGTCAGTTAGAAAGAGAACATTCTAATAGCTGTTATTATGATAATCTAATTCTGATAGCGGCCAGAAGCCAAGACCAGGATCAGACCAGAAGTTAATTAGCTGCTGTTTAATACAGCAATAGATAGTCCCAATCCTGCAGAGCTAAGATTCTGAAGTGTCCAGCCTTATAAAACTATGAGAAGAAAAAGAAAGTCTTTACACCATTTTATGCATTTAACGTAGGTTTGCATTTTCCGTTTGCTCTTGTTCTCAATGAGTAAGTCGGTATCATCTTCCTGTTTCTCTGAGAGATTCCTCTTTCACGACAGCAACTGATAAAGTGATCTGAAAGAGAAGAGGCAGATCTGTAAGTTGATGCTGAGCACAGAGACAGCATAGAAAAAAAAAACAAACAAAAGGCTAATGCTGCCTAGAGAAAGGTCACGCCATTTGGTGGCAGATTTCAAGTCTATTTTCAGTCCAACTTCACAATTTAGAAAGTTCCCCTTAAAATAGAGTATAGCCTTGGATTAGACAGAGGCTATAGAGCA